TCGGCCACCGGCTTGGATTGATGGAGCCCAGCGCGCGTTTTTTGGCACATTTTTCGTGGAAGGTTTACGACCGCGTTTCTTCGCACGCAGGCCGGCACGCGCCCACGGGGTGGGCATGCACAGACATGCATTCCCCGTTGAGTGTCACGTTTTTCGATGCTTTTAATGTTCTTTCGTCTCTCGTTACCTCACTCGTTTACCTCGCTCTCTCTCTCTCTCTCTCCTCACTCCTCGCCCTCGCCTCGCTCTCTCGCCTCGCTTTCGCACATATTTCGCGCGCCTCGATTTCTCACTATGCTCAATCCCTTTCCTCGCCTGACTGGTACACCTCGCTCCCTCCCAAATTGGGCTGGCTTCTGTCGAAAACTTGTTCGTCGTAGCGCCTCCCCCGCGCGGTTGTCGCCCCCGCCGCGGGCTGCCGCGCCGCGCCTGAGTGGCTGCGAAGTTCCACCCTCCTGGATATGGTCGGGGCGCCTTGGCCCAAACCGAAAACATCAAAGCAATGTGGGCCACCGTGAGGGGCACTCATTATGATGTGCGGGGCCCCCTCGCTGACGCATGATTTTCCGATGGTGTCCCGATGGTGGCATCTATTTGTCCCCAGGGTGTCCCGAGGGTGTCTCATCGCGACACCGATAGTGCGGTCGATGGTGCGTACTATAGGTCGATAGTGAGACCGATAGTGAGCTCGTGACATCGATAATGAGTTCGAAAGCGGAACCGATAGTGAGATCGACAGTTGGACCGATAGTGATATCGGTAAACAGTTAGTGAGATCGCTTGTTAGATCGATAGTGATATCGATAGTGAGAGTGCGTGATAGCGAGACGTATAGTGAGGTCAATAGTGGGATCGATCGACACATCGTGGACGGATGGACCGCACTGGTGCCCCGATGGTGTTCCGACGGTGTCCCGATGGTATTTCCATGATGTCCCGATTGTTGGGGGTGTTTCGACGGTGTCGCGGTGTCGTAACGATGGTGGCATGTGTTTGGTCCCCAGGGTGTCCCGATGGTATCCGATCGTGACACCGACGGTGCGGTCGATCGTGAAACCGATAGATCGATATTGAGACAGATAGAGAAATCGACACACAGATAGTTACATCGAGAGTGACATCGATCGCGGAAACGATAGTGAGATCGACAGCTATATGGATAGTGATATTGGCAAACAGATAGTGAGTTCGATCGTGGGACCGATATTGAGATACCAGGTGAGACCGATAGTGAGATCGATACACAGATCGTTCGATCGATCGTGATCTCCATAGCGAAATCGATCGTGAAACATAGTGCCATTAGTCAGGTCCCTCCCCAAACAAAAATCCTTATCTCCCACAAGATAGCTGGACAGGTGTACTGACACACAAGATCTCACGGGGGCGGGGGCGGGGGGCGGGGGCGGGGGGTGGGGGCGGGGGGGCGGAATCCTTTCCTCCCACCCCTCCTTGGGAAAACGTGTGGATCCATTGTCCCTGGGACGACCGAGACGCCCATGCTCAAAGGCTTCAAGCATTCAGAACGGCGCCCAGGCGGCCCCGCGATGGGGACCGCCCAGTCACCGCATCAAAAACGGGGAGAAGGATGAGTTAATGGAGGAGGAATTGGAGGGTGAAGGAGGAAGGGGGGGGGCAAAGTAGGGGGCTGAACCAGAGGAGAGCAAGGAAGAGGCGGAGGAGGAGGAGGATGAGGCTAAGGAGGAGGAGGAGGAGGAAAATACCCATACATCGGCCCTACGAATGTTTGGACCCGTTTCGTGTTTCCCCCAATACATAGCTTCGGCGGGAACGCCAGTGTGAATTCGAGCTGAAGAAGTGCAGACCTTCATTTTCGAGGACGTCCTGGGCAGGAACGCCATTTTGGAATCGAACCAGAACGATGCCAATTGCCACTTCCCAAGAAATACTGGACGGGAACGCCATTTCGAAATTGAACCCGGAAGGCTCTGACATTTGTTGTGGAGGATGTTCCAGACGGGAGCGCCATTTCGAAATCGAGCCAAAGCGGATGTTTGGGGCCTTCACATGCAAACATATATGAAAGAGAAAGAAGCACATTGTACGATTTAAATACATAGAGGGGGATACAGAAAGAGAGAGAGAGAGAGAGAGAGAGACAGAGAGAGAGGCCGTAGCCATTTTGGCTCATGCCTGCTTGGGCGCCAGGCGGGCGGCAGCGCTGGGTCTCTGCCGCGGTGCGATGACTCCCCAGGAGATGGCTGCGGGCGGGAGCAGGGCGGCCGATGCGGCGGCGAAGCTCCCAGAGGCTACAGCGGCTGCGCCGTCGCCGTGGCCGACGCGGCGTGCCAGGCAGGGCGCTGCCCGTGGGGCGGCTCGGGGCGCCTGGCGGAGGCGCTGCGGCTCGTGCTCGACCTCGAGGCGCTCGTGGAGGGCTTGCAAGCTGACCTACGCCACGCGGTGGCGGCGGGCGAGGCCGCGGCCCTGGCTGCCTCCTGCGCCGCGTCTGCCCCTGCGAGCGGCGGGGCCGCGTCCGATGGCGTGGGGGCCGCATGCGGGGCTCCCGAGCCGAAAGCCGTGGCGGCTGAGCTCGTGCACCGCCTGGCGCTCGTCGCGCCCGTGCTGGAGGCGGACATCGCAGGCGCGGACCCGAGCGCCATGGAGGTGGGCAGGCGCAGTGTGGTCTCCCACCACCCCGCGCTCCCCGCCGCGGACGTGCGGGCGATGCCTCAACGGGAGCTCAATCGAGTTCAGCGTCAAGCGAGGCGCGCACCCAGGCGGGGGAGGTGCAGCAGGGCTGCGGTGCAGCTGCGGAGGCCCAGACCGCCGTGGAGGTGGCCTTCGCTGCATCGGCGGCTGCCAGCGGCTCGCTCGGCATACGACGCGGCGCCTACCGCCTGGGAGGAGGTGGCGGCGAGGCGCGGCCGCGCTGCGCGCAGCGCGCCGCCCCCCTCTGCAGGCGCCGCGTGCCGCGACGCCTCTGCACCGCCGCCCAGGATGCCTGCGGCGCCGTGTGGGCAGGCGAGCCCCCCCCTGGCGTTGTCGCCGCCACCGGTGATGAGCGGGGCGCGCTGGTGAGCGTGGGAGGCCGAGACGCTCGGCAGGCGCGACAACAACCTGGAGTCCGATGCCGTCCCTGCTGGTCCGCATGGCGGTGCTGTGCAGTACGTAGGGGGGGGCACCTTGCTCCTGGAGCCTGGGCGGGAGTCTGGCGGCGTGAGCGTGGAGAGCGGCATCGGCGACGAGGGCGACCTGCCCTTCTTCGATCCTGAGGGCGGCGTCTCGGGAGGCGTCTGCGACGACTTCGAGGAGGTGCTGGAGTGCGAAGGGGAAGGTCTTGGCGGTCGTCATGCTGCTGCGGATGCGCTGGGGGCTGAGGCGGAAGATCACGAGGATTTTCACGGTGCCCCTCGGGGGGTGGGGGCACGTTGGGGCTCGTGCTCGCCGTGTCGACGAGGGCCGAGCTCGAGATGGTCATCGTGCCGTCGGCGTGGCCTGCGCTGCCGACTCGGTCGACTTTGGTAGCAGGGGTGGCACGGTCAAGGAGCTGCAGACCGACGCCGTGCCCGACGCGGAGTGCCTGGTGCAGTCCGCCGCCCTGCTGGGGGACGACGCGCCTGCTGGGGGGCAGCCCGTCGTCTCGCCTGCCCGCCGTCTCATGGTCTTCCGTGGGCACGTGGATGCGGCCACGCACGTGGACGTGAGCAGGAGGCTGGCTGCCGCCAGGTGCATCCAGTGGCACTTGCGGGACTGGCGCCTCTGGGGCCTGCCTTAGGCACACGCTGGCCTGCACTGCTCAGATCAAGGCGGAGCTGCAGCAGTCTCGCGCTGAGCGACGTCCTGGTCTGTTGGCGGAGCTCAAGAGGGCCAAGCGCGGCAGGTAGTGTGAGTGGGAGTGCGCTTAGGTGCCTGGCCATCTTGGAGCGGCACTCTGAGGCGCCGCCGGCCCTGCTAGATGCGGCTCGGGTTTCTCGGCCGTTTCGGGGCCGTCCTGGGGGCATTCGGGCAAACCCTCTGGGGTTCCCTGTGTGCGTTTTGGGGTCTCCGGTCTGGGCTCCTGGGTGGGTCGGGGCCGCCCCCGCGGGGGTGGGGTGGGTGGCTTCTGCGACCCGTGCGGGTCTCGGTTGGCGCTCGCTCCTGTCGGTGCCTTGTCTTGGGTCCTCGTCGCCACTTGGGCTCGAACGGCACTGCCGGTCATTCGTCCTGAGGATGAGTGCCTGGCGACTTGGCTTGCGAGCAGGTCGTCTCGATGCGCGGGCTGGTGGCGTGAGGCTGCCGCGCCCCCGCGGGCTGTGCGTTGCGCCCCAGCGGCGGGGCCTCCTCCCTCCCGTTGTGGCGCCGAGGATGGTGCGAGAAAGCGGGAGAGAGAGAGAGAGGGAGAGAGACGGAAAGACAGTACTCAATATCTTTGCATGCTAGCTTTCGTTGGAACCCAAGCGACGCAAACCACACACGTTAAAACATTTTTTGAGAACATCCAGCCCGTTTTTGATTAGAGCTGGTTTTCTGACGCGTTGAAGCCCGCTAGCAGACCTTAGGGTCATACCGCAATTCGCCCTGCTGTCTGGTAAGTACATGGTGCTTGTAGGGGAACGTATCCAGCGAACCCGTATAGATCATGCGGGTGGCATCACATGTTCGCGCCCCGAGCTCACGGTTGATAATCGTAACCTCGTTTGAGATGGTGTTCCCGCAGGAAGTCGTAAGGAAAAACCAACCTAGTTGACCGTCCATGTGTTGTTCCTTCAAGACCACCCCAGTGATGCGATGACGTTGACTCTATCACACAATGCAAAACATGAAACAAACCGGCATGCCAGCAGGTGCCCCACGGACATAGGGTATTCCCCCCCTTCCATGGTTTTGGGCACCCCTTTACTGAACAAGTTGCCGTTGGATTCTGTCCATCAGTTTGAACGTACGTGCTGATTAATTGCATGAGCTTTGGTTGGCAATTGGTTGCTGTCGCCCACGTGAAACGCATGGAGGTTAACTCTGTTCGTGCTTGATCACTGATTTTTGTTGTAAGTTGTACGGAGGAAGCACCGGACTGGATGGAGAGATTATGGAGCAGGCCAGCTTCTTTTATCGTTCGATTTGCAGGGGTGTTGTTTGGGAACACAGTGGATGGCAAGAGCGGAAAGGTTACGCGCAGAGAGCGGCGGCTATCCGATGCTATTTGTTGAGGGGAATGCGTGCGGTCCAGTTTCCACATGCTTGCACATTGTATCGTGCTCGCCCATCACTCCCAGCGGGAATTGCGCTAGCAAGTGCGACGGGAGCTGTCTTGTTGGGAAGCGGCGCCGTCTTTGCGACACACCACAAGGTGCACAATGCAGACAAAGCGTAATATTTCGGCGCTTGAGGGTGTGGCGCTCCTTTTCCCAAGAAATCCCTGGCAATCTCCAGATACCCCCCCCCCCCGCGAGTCGGCAAACGACGACGGTGAAGACGACGACCCTGACGACGACGAGCAGTCGCAGCCGCCCACCGGCGCCCATGCGCGAGCATCTCACACGATTGAGGAACCGAGATTTGCGCAAACAGTTGTGCAACCTTGGGGGAGGCCGAGAGCGATCCGAAAGGTCCCCAGGGGGGGACTTTTTTCAGTTTTGATTTGACAGCGTTTCTATGAAGGGCCCTGGTAACCTCTAACGGTTTTTAGGTTTGGGCCCACCCCCCGTTTCTCTCGGCGGGGAAGAAACCCCGCCACTCCTCCTGTTCCTGCTCCTTTTCCTCATTCTCCTCCCCCCCCGTCGTCGTCGTCGTCGTCGTCGTCGCAGCGGAGATGAGTTTCCCTCTCTTGTTGGACCTTGGGCTGGATCATGGGACGACCCGTCTACCCTACACTCGGGAGGACGCGTGAGCATGTTCTAATGTGGATGGCAATCGGAATCAGTGTTTTTGGATGTAGTCGTGATTGCTGTCGTGGTTGTAATTGCGATCGTAATCGATATTGTAGTCGTGATTGCAGTCGAAATCGTCGTCGTCTTCGCAGCGGATATTATGTTCCGATTAGTGTACGCCGCGCTGGATAATGCTGTAGGTTTTCTCCCACCGAATAGTGATATCTGGGCCAACCCCGGACCACAGAGGAATTCTGAGTACGTTTTTCAAGATATTGCATTCTAGATCGACACATTCTTCGCCGAATGCGTTGCTCACAGTCTACTAATCGTAGTCGATGGTGTAGCCGTAGCCTCGGTCGTACCGTGGTCGTAGTAGTATGCGTAGCCGTTGTCGTCGTCGTTGTCGTGATGCGGCGGATGCCGCGGATGATTAATTGTAATTCACTGTGGCTGGGGCCCCAGTCCACCAATGAGGGCGCCGAGAAGACAACGCGTTTCAACTGGGGCGGGTCTCTACAGACCCTTCGACGATGGGCTGTAGAGAAGGAAGCACAGGAGAGTCCACAAGGGGGGGGGCGGGGAGCCCCAGACCGCCGGGACTGGCAGTCGGTTGTCTGGATCCTTCTCACTAGTTATCCCGGAACTCGGCACGAACGAAATGGGGGTTGAAAAAATGGGTACGATGCCCAACAGCAGTTTCTGGTCATTTCGAACATGACTCGCTGTCCGCGCCGCCGCGGCCTGTGTCCTTTTGAGACAGAAGGCCGCCTGTCCAACAGCGGCCGCTGTTGGTTTGGGACAACATTTGTTGTTGGGCATTGTACCCATTTCCTCCGTACCCATTTCGGGCGTGAGGGCCAAAGCCCGACCTTGTCGTCATGAGATGTTTGTGCACGCGTTGGCAGCTTTTGGTTGGCGTCGGAGGCCATCTTCAGGTTTCTTGGATCACGGCAACGGTATAGAATACGTTGGCTTTCTTAATAAGCGTGGGGGTGCACCCCCCCGACGGGAAAGGGGGGGAACGAGAGGGCCCGAGAGACATCCAAGAAGGCGCCAAGATGGCCCAAGAGCGCTCCAAGAGAGCCCAAGACCGCAGAAGAGCGTTTCAAAATTGGTCCAACATGGCTTGAAGACAGCCCAAGAGGGCTTCAAGACGACCAAGATGCCCTCAAAAGGACTCCCACGAGGCACTCTGGAGGCGAACGAAAATAGGATGTTTTTTTCTATGGTTTTTCGTGTTCTCGCTGTTTC